ACCCTGTTCTGGCATTTGCTCTACTCCTTTCTGCTAATGCAAACTATAAACGTTTGGAGAAGCTAATCCATGTCCCAGTCTCTCATACCAAGTTTCCACTAATTCATGGCGGGATGAAAAGACTACATATGGCTAGTTTGTTATAATCATTGCACATTTAATTAGCCTTGGCATCTTTTCCTACTTTTTGTCTTCCATGTGATTATGTTTCTTCCAACAGCATATAGATTGCTCAAGTTCTAAAACCTAATCTGAGACATTCTCACATGTAATAGTGGTATAGTATATTACTGGAGAATGTCTTGACTTTCGCCTTAGTTTCCTTACCTATAAGACCTATGTTTGTGATGACAATGAATTAACACCAACAAAACCCACAGTCCTGGCACACAAGACATATCATTAATGTTAGCTGTTATTAAGAATTGAGATTTATCATTTATATGTATATTACTGGTATATTAGAGCTTATTCTGCTTTCTATTAACTATGCTTTTTCTTAGTGTTTTTTTTTTCCTGTTCCTTTTTTCTGCCTCACCATGGTTTAATACATTTTCCTCAATTCCATTTTCAAGCTTGGAAAACACTGCATTGTTTGTATTCATTAAGGGTTAGCCTTAGAATGTTAAAAGGATCCAAGGAGGCCAATGCTTCCCAAAGAATACCAAGGGCTCAGGATGCCTTCACAGTCTAATCGTCCTCTCCCAAGTCCTACATTATTATATAATTTTTCATGTATTTCTGTTTCTATTTCTGAAGACAGGGTCTTCACTGTGCAGTCCAGGCTGGCCTTAAACTCATTATATAGCCCAGGTTGGCCTAGAACTCATGGTGTCTGCCTGTCTCAGCCTCTGGAGTGCTGGGATTATAGGTGTGTGCCACCATGCCCAGCTACTGTCTAACATTTGATTTCTACTTTAATCCCCTCCTCCCCACCCCAAGTCTATATACTATCTGACATGAAGAGTAAGGTGATTTAAACAGCTCACAATTCATTATTCATTACCTCTCAATTCATTATTATTTTTCGTTTGCTAGAAAAACAGAAACAAAAACTAGTCTTGGACAGGATATGGGATTTCCCCCACTCTGAATTCAGGCACTGAGAGTTCAGGGCTTTGTCAGCACCTCCCATGACTCTGTGCTTCTGGGTTGCCATGATGCGAGCAGCTTTGATCCAGGCACCTGTCTCCATGCCGCTTCTGCTCTGGAACCAGCTGACTATAGAGTGAACCTCTACAAACATGAACCAAAATAAACATCTCCTCCTTTAAGCTGTGGGTGTTGGGTATCCTGTTTCGGGATGAGGAAAGTGCTTTAGGTGCTCAGAACTCTATAGAATTGTCTTTATTCAGTCCTCTCCAATTTTGGATCTTCAGCTTTGATAGTAAACAGAAGCAGCCATGTGAAGCTTTCACATTTGTTGTGAAATTCCTACTGAAGAGCCCCAATACATTTATTATACATTATTTAAAAACTCACAGAACAAACTTTCTGGAGAATTTTAAACTTTTGTCCTGTTTTAAAAACTTGGCCACATATTTTTTTAAAAGCTAATATTCTAATAATTCCTTTAAAAGTACACACATATATGGAAAAATTATGATCACAATGTTCAGTTTGTAATTATTCATAATTGGACAAAAACTGGTGTCCAAGAATAGAATATGTGTGCACAAGGTGGCATGTGCTCCAGCGGACTGTTATCAACCACTCAGGAGTACAGATAATGCACTGGGAAACTTTTAGTGACAAATGGAAGCCATGAGTGTAGGTGTGTGGAGCTGGTCTTAGAGAAGTCACACACTCTCACAGTGACTTGGACCTTTCCTCTGTTGCACTTATTCTAAGTTGATTTGTGTAATTCCTAATTAGTGTTTTTCTCTCCTCCTGGTCTATAGGAGTTCTACCAGGGGAGGGTTTCTTTGTTTTGCATACCTCTTGACTCATCTTCCTAATGGCAGAGGGAAGGGAAGTGAGGGAGGGAAAAGAGAACAGAGAAACAGGAAAAGAGAGAGGGGAAGGACATGCATTTCTCATGAAAGCACTATGGATCCAAGTCACAAGACACTCCAACTGGGAGAGCACATTCTCATTTCCACTGGCAACAAAAGCAAGGCCTTGAGGGCTGAAAACAGACAAGGTGGCAGGGCTGCCCCAGCATCTGGGATTGTGCTGAAGACTGCATTCTAGGCAAGGCAGGGCTCTCCAGCTGACTAGCAGTGGTGCACATAATACAGCACTGGTATATGTGTGGGGTGGGCAGGCTGGTAGCAGGAATCTTTTAGGAGACTAGCAAAATATTTAACCATGGACTTTTATCTGAATTCTGAATAGTCTGCAGCCCGAGGATACCCAAGAATATAAGTAAGGGCTTGGAAAATGTCCCCTGTAAGTAAGGTATAAGTGTAGGTGGGGAATATAAACCCAGTAACTTGGGTGTTAATACTAATTTGACCTGTTTATGGCCTTAGATAGTTATTCTTAAGACATCTGAAAAACACTAAGACTAAAATCAATCAAAGATGATCAAAAAGGTAATAAATTTAATGATTATGACTTTTCCCTCTAATGTTAATTACTTTATAATAAAAAGTCCCATACAATAGGAAGAAGTGTGTCTCCTTTGAAGAATTGCTATTTTCTTCTATCAGATGCTAATAATTTTGAAACCCATGGTTTATATCCTTTCCCCAGAGATCCTAAGAATCTCAAATTTAAGGTTCAAGCACAGTAAGCATATTACTGCAATAATCTGGGTAGCTTATAATACAGGGCCAAGCAGCACATTGAAAAAGAAAATCCTCCATAAAGCCTGGTCTTTTTGTCTACTTCTTTTAACATATAAATCTCTTCCATGGGATTCCACTACTAAAGGCTGGATTACTTTGATTATATATGATCTTATAAATTCTGCTTTCAACTAGACCAGAGCTTCTCACTGTCGGGCAGAAGAGATTAGAGGGTGAAAGGTCACCTGACAGATCAGACCCATGTGGGTGTCCTTTTCCGATTTACCCATAGCAGCTCATCAGCACCCAAACAACTATTTAGAGTTGATAAGACCACTGGCAGCTGTTACATCCAAGAAGATTAGCAGGTAAAAAGGATAAATAATCAATGAATGACTGTAAGTTTGGTTGATTAGATATTCTCTAAAAGGTGAATTTTAGGAGTTTTTATCAGTTTCAATTTTGAATCTAACACCCTAAGTTTAATCTCTGTGAAACTGATATAAAATATTTTATTTTTAATGTATGGATATCAAACATATCCTAAGTGCTAACACATAAAGCTCAATAAATGCCCATTATACCTCATCTTTCAGATAAACTTGGGAGTTATTTACGTAAGGATTTCTCAATCCTGTTACCAATGAAATTTGAAATGTTTAATCCTTTATTTTGAGGTATTATGGGCTAATTTGTGCCCTCTTCAAAATAACATTTGATGGAAGTCCTAACTCCCAGTACCTCATCATGTGGGTATCTTTACAGATAGGGTCTTGGAAGAGGTAACTGAAGTAAAATGAAATCACACAGCAGGTGCTGTGCCAATACAACTGTTGTCCTTGTCACAAGAAATAAGGACACAGACACATGTGCACAGAGGAAAGACCATGCATAGACACAGTGAAAGAGAGGGCAGCTGTTTGCAAGCCAGGGAAAGAGGATTAGAAGATGCCTACTGATTATAAGATTTGCAGTCTTCTGCACTGGAGCAGTGAGCATCTGTCACTTAAGCACTCCCTTGGTGGAATGCTGGGATGCAGCCCCAGCAGACTCACAGAAAGGGGCTGACTGCATTTGAACAGCTGGAGGCATAACTAGCCTCTCCCTGTGGTGTCAGTACCAGCCTTGCACCCCATCTCCAGTTATGAAATAAAAATTCTCTACATGTTGCTCAAATGTCCCCTAAGGTAGGAACTCTTCCTGCCTGTCCCACTGAGCAACTTCAGTTACTCTGTGCTCCCTGATGCGCAGCATAGCAATGATACATAACTAAATAGATTATCAAATATTTACTGAAGGAATTCATACACCTGGTCTCCATTCTGGGTCTTACTGGGCCATGAAAAACTCCTCTTGCTGAAAATAAAATAGTAATCACTTCCCGGTTAATTTACAGAGGGTTGTGTACTGTTTAACTAAACAAGCAGTTTTCACTGTAGCATGGACTCTGGCAAATCAGCGGTGTTAACACCACACCTGTGTTCACCTCTTTTTGTTGCTACTGCTCACTTACCTCACTGCAGATCCACTGAGACACTGGGCAGCATGCTGCTGTCAGCTTTCCTAATGTACCACTTGACTTCAGGCAGATACAGTGACTATGATAAATTCTTCTCTAACCATGTGAAACTCAGGGCACTTGTGAAGAAAACAAACATGGGATTTCAGTGCAAAACTGTTAGCATAATGACACTACACAATCAGAAACCCCAAAGCATACCCAAAGGCTGATGCCAACAGAGGTACTCCTGAGAAGGGCAAAATCACAAATCTTGCCCTACCTCTTCCATAAATCTGACGTTTTAACCTTGCCACACTTGCTGTCATGCTGTTGGAAAGCTGGTATGTTTGGGTTGTGAGTGGCAGAGGGCTGGGTTGGCTCGAAAATGCCACAGCAATGTGAAAAGGGTGACACTGCACACACAGAAAATAATTTCTGATCGCTGTACTCCATTATTCACAAGACATTATTTCAATTTGACCTACAGTTTATTCATTTACAAATTCATTTATTGCATATTTTAATAGCTGGGGTTCATAGTGTTAGAGATTTCATTGGCTCAACTTAAAAAAATACTAAAAGTAGTCACTTTTAAGTGCTATTTCAGAAGAAAATGTCTACTATTTCAAAGTTATTGTGATTTTAAATGTTTTTTACTTTAAAAAATTGTAACTAACTTTGTAACTTTTTTATTTTTTATTTTTTTGTCTTTTTGACACAGGGTCTCACTGTGCAATGCAGGCTGGCCTTGAGCTCACTTTGTAGCCCAGGCTGGTCTTGAACTCCTGCCTCAGCCTCCCAAATGCTAAGATTATAGGCGTGCGCCACCACGCCCGGCTAACTTTGTAACTTTTAAGAACTGCAATACTAACTTTGTACCTTTTTAAAAATTACAGCAATAACTTCGTAACTTAAAAAATTATAATACTAACTTTGTGACTTTAAATTGGAATCCTAAAAAAAAAAAAGTAAATTGGAATCCTACTCCAAGCAATACATGAAACACAAGTCTAACAAACAACTCCACTGATCTTGGGTGACACCATTCTGAACTGCTGCGATAGACATTCAGCAGCTTCGCCTCAGGTTCTCATACTCTCCAAGGATGTAAATGATGGTGGAACACAAAGATTCCTAACTCGACTGCTTATAATGATGCAGAGGCTGAAAAGAATCCTCTTCTCAGGTTGGTCTCTCCATAGAAGAAAAGGAGAATGGCTTGAGGATATCCTGAAACTTAGAAACTAAACAAATCCCTCTGCAAAACAGTGTTCCCACTCAGTAAAGCTGGTGAACAGTGGATGTCAATGTTTTAGAGGGAGGAGGCAACTGATCAAGTGACAATGTGTAGTAACCTTTTCCTTTTTCAGAAAGAAATTTTCCAGAAAGAATGAAAATTAGTTAACTATAACATTTAGAATTTCACATCTTTCCTTGGTCATTTATAAATATGAAATCTACATTCATTCAGCAATAAAAACTACCATACTCTAATCATAGCATTAAAAAGTTGGAAAAAGTCCCCTAATTCCTATTGCGTTTATTTCTTGGTTCAATCTCAGCACTTTCAGCTGCTCTTGTGCGGCGATTCTGTCTTGGGCTTGTTTCTACGTCTTGAAGATCATTTCTAAAAACAGGAAGAAATGACATCTTAGCAATGGTCATTATTCCATAGTAATTTCTAGTTTATAAATACTTTTGCATGCATTATTTCATTGAAACCCGCAATAGCCTTCTATTCTAGTGACATGTTATTATTATTGTTATTATTATTATTATTATCATCATCATCATCGTTCCTATTATATAACTGAGAAAACACTGAATTCTCAAAGATGACAAATTCAGAATCAGAAATAAAACTGAATCAAAATCTAGCAGTTCAAGGTCCTGAGTTTGATTCCCAGTACTAAAAAAAAAAAAAAAAAAAAGGAAAAATCAAAATCTAGCAGTTTTATGCTTCTGTTAAATATCTTGATGTGTCAAATTGGGGGGAAAAACCTTCTTCTGTCCTAATGAGAAAAAGCCAGATAGTCCAATCCTATCTCTTCTTGATCCTGTCAGAGATTGAGACTGTAAGGTAACCTAGGAAACAGTATTCCAAGAACCCTCTAAAGAGAGATGGCCATGCACCTTCTCTCACTGTAAGCAGAGCCCTGGAGAGAGGAGGGCTGCTGTACAATCAGGTATGAAATCAGCCAAAATTCTTGTGAATTCTTCCTATTTCTTTTGGTTCTGGGGGTGGAACCCTGGCAGCACATGCTTGGCCACTGAGCACTGCCTGCCTCCTGGATTCTTCTAAGACACGAAAGCTTGAAATCACTGAAGGAAGAGCCAAACTCACTGGCCCGTAGGTGCAGGTGGAGATATACTGTCTCAGCACGGCGAGGTCAAATCAGTCCATGCAAGCTGGAAGGACAGGAAACCCTTTGCAGTGGCACAGGCAAAGGGTCACTGCTGCTGGGGACATGGTAGAAACTTCCTCTCCAAATTTGGAGGGGGAGCAAAGAAGGAGTTGCCAGGGGTGTGGGGAAGGGCAAGTTGACAAGGCAGAGTACTGGTGGTCTTCAGGGCTCGGAAACTTCTGGATGTCACTAAAATGGGTGCTGTATGCTCTTTACAATTTGCTAAATTGTATGCTCTTTACAATTTGGCCATATAACATGCAGCACAACAAGTGAACCCAAATCTGTTACAGTGAATAACACTGTAATCTGTTACAGTGTAAACTGTTACAGTGACTAAAACCAAAGTTAGAGGCCTCATACTACCTGACTTCAAGACTTCCTATAAAACTGCAGTAATCAAGAGCATGAGTCATTATGAGACAGACAGATCAATGGAGCAGAACAGTGACTCACACATACACATCTCAATGCCAAGGTTATTAAATGGAGATAGGATAGTCCCTTCATTACAGTGCTGCAGCAGCTAGAGATCCCTATGCAGAAAAGAAAAATTGAACCCCAATTCATACCTTCCAACATTTGAAAAGTTACTTGAAATATGTTACAGACTTTAACGTAAAAACTAAAAGCTTTAGGACATAAGAGAAAAATCTTTGTAATACTAAGTTAGGCTAATATTTCCTAGGCAGGACTCCCCTGCCAAGAAAACCCCACAAAATATTTTAAAAATTGATACATTTCATCAAACTTTAAAATTGTTCTTTGAAAAACACTTATAACAGGAAAAAGCAAACAAGCAATACAGAAAGACCTAAGTGAGACCCTGGTAAAAGTTCTGCATTTAGCATGCACTGAATGTAGTTCTGGACAAAACATTTTAAAAGACCAAGACAGACTAGAGCCAGGGGAGCAGGCCCATGACCTGTAGAGCACGGGGTCTTTCCAAGGGCTGCCTCAGGAGCCTCTCCCAGTCAGGTGGGAGGTCATGCTGAATAAGAGCAACCCCTCCTGTCTCTCAGAAGCTATTCCTATTCCCCTACTCTCCCACCCCTATTCCCCATTCTTTTTCTACAATAAATTTTCCTCCTCCTAAAAAAAAAACCAAAACAGTGAATAAAGGAAGTCTGGGCCCAACCCAATAGTTTTTTGGTTGTTTTGTTCCTTGTTGCTTTATAAGCAGTATTCCTTCCCTTCAATTTTCGTTTCATGTATGTTGAGGCTCTCATAAAGTGTATATAAGCATTTTGTTTTATTTTTAGATAGGGTCTTGTTAAGTTGCCCAGGCTGGGCTTGAACTTGTGATTCTCCTATCTGTGGCATCGTAGAGTAGTGCCATTATAGGTATGCACAACCATGTCTGGCTATGTGTATGTGTTTCTAATCATTTCTCTTCTTGATGGATTGACATTTTAAAGCACTATAAAATGCAACTTTTCATGCAGCATTTATCTTAAAGTCTATTTTGTCTCATATCAGTATAGACATACTCATCTACATTTAATGCTTTTGTTGTTCCTTTATTCCTCCATCACAGATTTCTACTGTGCCACTTTCATTTCTTTTACTATATCTTAAAATTTGTTTTCTTAACGGTTGCCCTGGGGATTTGGGTTAGGATGTTAGTTTACAACAGTACCTAGTTCAGATTAATACCAACATAATGTCAACAACACACAAAATTTTTTCCTATATGCAGTAGCTCCGTGCCTTCCCCCATCCTTTCTGCTGTTAGTGTCACACAGATTCTATCTTTACACAGTTTGTTCAGCAACATAGATCTGTAATTATTGCTTTATGCAACTGTCTTTCAAAATAGGAGAAAAAAATTACAAACCAAAATATATCTATGCTCTTCAATATTAACCTATGGAGTTACCTTTACTGAACTATTTATTTTCTCCTGTGGGTTCAAGTTACTGTCTAGTGTCCTTTCATTTCGGCCTGAACCCTTCAGTATTTTATATAAAACAGACCCCTAGTGACCACTTCTCCTCGTTTTTGTTTCTCTTGGAGCATCTTCATTTCACCTTCATCTCTGAAGGGCACATTTGTACAGTATTCTTGGTTGGCAGCCCCTTTCTTTTAGCACTTGGAATATGTCATTTTACTGCCTTTGGCCTCCATGCACCTGAGCTGTTTTAAACTATGAATTGTTTTTCTCTTAAGATTTTTTTCTGTCTTTGACTTCTGACAGCTTGACTACAATGTGCCTAGCTAGGGATGTCTTTGTGTTTATACTACTTGGATTTTGTTGAGCTTCTGAGATGCATAGTCTTTTTCATCAAGTTTGGGGAAATTTCATTATTTACTGTCATACTCTGTGCCACTTTCTCTGTCTTTGCCTTAGGTCTCCACTATGCATATGTTGGTGCAGTTGATGGTGTCCCACAGGTCTCCGAGGGTAGCTATTATCCTTTATCCTTCTCTTTCTGTTCCTCAGAATGGGTAATCTCAGCTGATCTCTCTTCAGCTTCACTCATCTTTTCTTCCACTGCTCAAATCTGCTGTTGAGCCCCTCAGTGAATTTTTCATGCTGCTAGTATGCCTTTCAACACCAGAATTTCTATTTGGTTCAACAGATAGTTGCCTTTAGTTCTCTGAATATACTTCAGTCCTTTCCCCTTTTGGTGAGGTATATAGAAAGAACATAGTGGAAAGCAGACTCCCTTGGTCTGACCACAGCGTGGTCCGAATAGGGACCATTCTAAACAGCTGAATGTTCTGATTTTTTTCTAAACATGGTATTAGTTTTTTTGGGGGGCGGGTACTGGGAATCGAACTCAGGACCTTGCATTTGTCAGTCAGGTGCTATGCCGCTGAGCTATAGCCCAGCCAATAAACGTGGTATTGGTTGTTTCCCTGCTGCAAATACTTTCAATCCTCTGTATGGGATACAAAGACCATTCACGAAACCAATGCATAATCTTGAGTAAGGGCTAAAACATGTCAAATACATTGCAAGGAAGCAAAGTTATACAGCTGTGCTATACCAACAAAAAACTTTAATAAAGAACCAAGTCTAATAACATATTTAAAAAATCAAACTCTATTATCTAGTACATTTATTTCAGAAAGCCAATCTCATGCAACATTTAAAATTCATCAGTTACCACAAAAACAAATCATATGTCTATCTCACAAGATACATAAAAAACATTTGATAAAATTGAACATTCATATTAAAAACTAGATAAAAGATAAAACATTTACTGTTTTCTCACTAAGATTGGAAATAAGAAAATGATGCCCTTATTACCACTTCCAACTAACTCCTGAGTAGTGGTCCTAAACCAATATAATTAAGCATGAAAGAAGATAGAGAATGCATTACATGGATGTGACACCTAGCTTTGTAAAAACCACCAAAGAATCTATAAACTATTATATTATTAAGTAAATTTATCAAAGTCCTGAATACAGGGTCAGCGTACAAACTTAGTTTTATAAACTATCAACAAGTAATGAGAAACTAAGCAAACATACAACAAGTATTTTCAAACATAAAACAACACCAAATACCCAGAAATAAATCTAACAAAGGATGTGTATGGCCTATACACAGAAAATTATAAAATATGTAAGAAAATCACTTTAAGAACCTAAATGAATGGGTGCATATGCCATATTCAAAGATGAGAAACACCAATACAAAAGGGATTCTAGAACACAACGTAGGAAAATGCCTTTTGGAACTCAAGGTAGGGAAAATTTCTTATACAATGCAAAAAAACCTAGCCATAAAGGAAAAGTGCTAAACTGGATAAAATAATTAAAATGTGTCTTCAAAACACACCACTAGAAGGGTAAAAAGGCAATTCCCATGGAATAAAAAGTGATTATAATATATACATTCAACAAAGACTTACAAAGACCTACCATAAACAATAAAGAGGAGACAAGATAACAAAAAGAGTACGAATGATCTAAATAAGAAGTTTACAAAATAAAATGAAAATATATACAATATATAACTAGACACCCACTAGAATGACTAAAATCACAGACTAAGAACACAGAAAGTTTACAAGGAACAACTAGAACTACCATTGGTGATGGGAGTTTAATTTGACCACTGTGGAAACATGTTTAGCAATCATGATTACACATACCCTTGGTCCAGCAATATTACTCTTAGGAATATACTCAAGAGAAATGAATACACACTGGAGGACATTTACAATTATGTTCTTTAAAGTCTTATAATAGCCTCAAACTCCAA